AATTTTGACTGGCCAGTCAAAAGGCTTCTTTCTGTCTTCAGACATGGGTTTGTCTTCAAGGGCAGAGATGAAAGGCAGCTTGTTACCTTCTGCTCTCTCATGGTGGGTAAGGGACAAAATGTCCGCAGACTGCCATCTGGTGGTCATGAGTTGTCACTGCAGCTTGAATTAGCCCCTTCCCTTTGAAAAGGGCTTGCAAGCTGCCAGCTGTAGCAAAGCAACAATGAAAAAATATGGTTCCCAGCCTTGAGGGACTCACAGTCTAATGAAATAAATCTCGGCATGTTAACATTTTAACTAAAAGGTGCACAGGACCTCTATCTGGGTGTACAGGGATGAACACCTTCGAGTTGAGTCTTGAAGCATCCCTGTAGGTACCACTGTGACAAAGAGGAAGGAGCCTGATTCTAAACATAGAGAACATCCATGCCAGGCATTTGGGGAGTGTTGCTAGTGCTTGACTTGTTGGTAAGGAGTATGGGAAATAAGCGACTGGAAAGAACCAAGAAACAGTAATGGCAGACCCCAGGAGGCTTGAAATGCCTAATCAAGGTGACAGGTCTGCTGTGGAGCATTGAACAAGAAGATAATGGGTTCAGATTTTGGTGATCCAAGTATGGCCCCCTGTGTCTCCATGTAAGTTTTTCAAATGTTCATCAATGGGAGCCCCGTTTTCCAAAACAGGCGCAATCACAGCAGTTGTGATTGAAGTTAGGATTAAATTCGAGTTCCTAGGCCAAAAGTCATCCCAACGCCATGTCCCTCATCTGCGGCACACGTCACACTATGCCAAGTCAGTGGCCCAGTAGAAGGACATTGGATAATTGCTGCTGCAGGAGGGCGACTCTAACCTAGTATGATCATCCCCTCTGTAGTTTTAGAATTTGCTAAGTCTGATCTACCTAGCACATGGGGTATTTATAAACCAGGTCCGAGATGTTTTCTTATCCACTCTTCTAGAACTGATCTAGATATTTAGTTTGATGGCAATCCCCATGTTATTGCTCAGTTTCCAAATACAAGCCCTAGCTTTTGTGAGAGCCAGGTGATCAGCCATCCCTTTAGCCTCTGTTAAGCATCTCTTGTCTGCCACCCCGTGAGTCAATTCATATTCAGTATCTGAAAGCCTATGTGTCATCCCCAACCCACAGACTGTCTCTGACAGAGTTACTAGAAGTGATGCCTTGGATCTCACGGCTGTGTTGATGCTAAGTGCACTTTGTAAGTCCTCAAGAGCTGTCTGCTGAGTGGCCGCAGACCCCAGTCTGCAGGAGTTTCTGTTGCGTGACAGCGGGTGGCTGTGGGAAGGCCTTTGGCACAGGTGACAAATCCCAGACTGATGTCTGACCAAGAGCGAGTGGCCCGCTGAGGGACAAAGATGAGTCCATTCCGGCATGCATGCACTTTCTGATGCAAAACGAATTCACACCCTCCGAGCAGCATTTCCTCTGATTCTCCCTCCCGTTCCCTGTCTTTCCTCACGCTTTGCCCACTCTCTCTGCATGGCAGGGTCAGTTTGCTCTCACTTGCCCACATAGCTTCTCTGTTTCAAGGCTGTGTCCGGAACTGCCTCCTTCTTGCCATCTGGCCGCGCTATCTGCCGCGTCTTCCCACCCGGCCGGCCCCCACCTTTCCTTGGAGGCCTTCACACAAAGATGCTAATTCACTGGGTGACTTTTTCCAGGGCACGTTTTGCTTCTGTGCACAGTGTGCCCTGCGTGGTTGAATAACTGCTCTGACAGTGAATCTTCCTGTAGGTACATCGTTATTTCCCAGAGCGCTCCTAGCCCTGTGTTCTTTTATGTGGCCGCTGCCAGGTTCAATAAACATTAAGCAAGTGAAAATCACACTTTACAGCTAATGCTTTGGGCCTGTTCTATCCTTCATTAGAGGAGATGGAAATGTAATACAGCCTCCTGCTTTTGATGGAGGCAAGGCAGTGGAATGGGGAACTCGATGAGACTCTCCTGTTCACTTACCCCGTTCAGCTGTCTAGCTCTTCATTTCCACACCTGCCTCCCTTCAGCAGACTGGACTCTGTGGGACAAGAAAAACATGGTGCTTGCCCTGTGTCCTGACCCAGAGTATATGATAAATTGTCTTTTCAATGGATTTTCACTTATAAGGATCCCTTTGAATATCGAAGTTATTTGGGATCTGTAAAGTTTCTTCAAAGTCAGGTGGTCACACATTTTTTTAATCGACCTGGAATCATTTCAAGTGAACGTCAGTGAGGTGGAGAGGCTCATGGGCATGGGGCTCCTGCTGCAGATGCTCACCTCTCTCTGAAGCTCCCTGAGGACAGAGGGCCAGATGTGAATAGAGAGATGGACAGTGTTAGGTCATCTGTAGACAGCCCTGCTTCTCTCAGGGATACACTAGGGGTCAAGACCTCAGTCATCCCCTCTGTGAAAAGGGGCTTGACTTTATTTTCTAGAATCTTCAATTTCTTATAATGCCTTGGAATATGTTTTATTGGTTTCATCTCAAGTCTCACTCTCCAACTAAAAAAAAAATCCAAACTGTGATGGCTGAGATTACAATTGCTTAGTAACCAATAATAATTGAGTACTGATTTACGTTCTCTTTTGATGATGCTGTGAAAGCTCACATGAACAATTCACATTCAAGCAGACCTCTGAAGTGTATGGCCCTTGTGCTGTGTGTCATTGGAGGATTAAGACTGAACCCATTTGGGGACAACCCATCTAGTAGGGAGATGGAGCTGGTACCCCGGCTACAGTCTTCTTACTTTAGATTATGCAGAAGGACACCAGAGACACACTCCAGAGATCACTCCAAGTGTGCTGAAACCTCTGGATTGCAAAGGGCTGTGAAACAGGATGTAACCTTGTCTTTAGTCACTGATGGTGTTAAGCTACTTTGGTGGTAAGGAAGAGAAACCCATTGAACCCAAGTAATGGAGGATTTGTTACTAGGATACACAGAAATGGGCAATGGCCTCTTCAGCTTTACTAGGAACCAAATATGTCTTATTTATCAGGTCTCCCAGTACACTTCTCTAGAGGGGGAGTGCAATCTGCCCCAACAGATGTACTTGGCCTGCTCTGCTCTCAGGGTTGGAGAGATTTGAGCCTAGGCTCCTATTATTTTTGTAAAATTGTTGTTGTTGTTGTTCTTATTTTGTGTTCTCTGCATGTGTGATACATATGGGGGTGCATGTCTTCCATGGTGCATGTGTGCAGGTTGGAGAACAATTTGTGGGGTTGGTTCACTTTCCCCATCTCTTTATGGCTGTTGCGGAGCATTTGTTTAACTATGTAAAGAAGTGTTGCATTTGTTTATGTTGCAGAATATTTGTCTAACTATGCAAAGATGTGCTGCATTTGTTTCATTATGCAAAGATGTGTTGCTGTTTTCCTTTGCCTGCCTAAGGTACCTGATTGGTCTAATAAGAAGCTGAATGGCCAATAGCAAGGGAGGAGGTATACGCAGGTCTTCCAGTCAGGGAGAATAAGTAGGAGGAGGAATTTAGGCTCATTGAAAGAAAGAAAGAGAGACACCAGGGAGACACCAGGTCCAGCCAGACATGGAAGAAGCAGGAGAGTAGAACATACAGAATGAAAGAAAGATAAAAAGCCCCGAGGCAAAATGTTGGTGAATAGAAACAGGTTAAATTAAGTTAAAAGAGTTAGAGAGACAACCCTAAGCTAAGACCAAGCATTCATAATTACTTGGGAGCTGGTTGGTGGCCCAAAGAACAGCAACTACCTGTGGATTTTGGGGATCAGGCTCAGGTCATCAGTGCCTTTACCCACTGAGCCAGTCAGGGCCCAAGCTCTTCTTTCTGTGTTTCCCCTTTAGCGTGACTCAATTACCCTGTCAGCGTCTGCTTCGCTTAGAATCCATTCTTCTCTCCTTGTACCAGCAAGCGGCATCATTTATTCTACATCAAGAAGTCTGGAGCGCTGTCATTTGATTGCTGTGGTTGATGACCTTGGCCCCCTGATTGGCCAGTTTTCCTTCAAGTCACACCATATTTGCTGAGTACCCTGTTTTGGCGATCTTTGGTACATGGGCATTCGGCTTTAGTAATTTCTTTTAGCATATTAATGTGACCATTTCATTCTGTCTTTAAGATTTATTTTGCTTTCAATTAATTATGTGTGTGTGTGTGTGTGTGTGTGTGCGCGCGCGCGTGCGCGCGCGCATGCACGCGCATGTGCGTGCGCACGCGCATGCCTGCCCATGGAGGCAAGAGTCGTAAGATTTCCCTGGCACTGGGGTAACAGTGTGAGATGCCTAACATGTGTGTTAGGAACTGAATTCGGGGTTCTGACAGAGCAGTGCACACTCAGCCACCTCTATAGCCTCTAAGCACGGCTATTGCTAGGCTGACTGGGGTTCTCACCTCCAAAAAATGGTCTATCCAGTGGTGGGATTGTTACACTGTCCACCAGGGATGTCCCCACTGGTGACGTGACAAGCCAGGAACAGGCAGGGTTGCTCTCCGGTGCTGTTTCCATAGCTACCTTATGACTGTGGTACAAGAAGGGAAGTACAAGGAAACATAAAACATATAGAGAAAAATAACTTTGGTCTTAAAGAAAATATTTTCTGGCAGTCACAGTACAAGATGGATGGTGTTGGGGATTATGTCAGATACTGTTTGCAGTTGCTGGAAGTTCACAAACCATCATTACTCACTAAGCTTCGCTACAACTTGCCAGGCACAGATAGTGTTTTTAAAATAAATACTTCACTTCCAATCATATGGTTATCAGTCAAGGTCTGTTTTTTTTTCTTCCCCGAATTCCCCGAGAACAGATCCTGAGAAGGGGTCAAGTGTGTTGAGGGTATGCTCTGAAACACCCCCCTCCACAACCCCCAGAAGGAGAGAGAGCAGGATGCGGGACGGAGGGCTGAACAGCAGCGTGATCTGCTGGGAGGGCCAGCCCTGTTCTGACTTGCAGGAAGTCAGCCACACTGGACAATTGTCTCAACCTGATGTAAGTCGTCCACACTTCTGAACTCTGGGTCAGCCAGCCAGGGGGTGTATGACGTTAGGCTTGCTATAACACCTTGTGTCTGGGGTGAGCCTACTCACCCCATCAGGCCAAGGTGATTCCTCTATACTCAAGTATGTAAACCATAGCTATGGGGAGATGGACATTCTGCTGACAGATGGGATCTGTGAGGAGCACTGTTAGCACCCACTATATGGCTCCCTCTAAGTGTTCCATGAGATTCCCAGCTACAGACAGCAGAGGAAGGTATTGGGAGGAAGAGAAGGCTAACAGACCAGAGAGAGGGCAGAAGCAGAAGGGGACCCTGGGCAGAAGCCAAGGTAAGCTCAGAGGTCAAGACTGTAGAGGACTCTGCATTATGGAGCGTTTCCATCTATAACTGATAGACTTGCACAGCATCTCACCCAGATGCCACTGGGCATTATCCACTTTACTCCTTTTCATTCCTATCCATGCAGCTGTCTGGGCAGAAGCACCTGATTGGCCAATTCTAGTTCCCATGTCCATCGGTTATGGGCTGGAAGTGGAGAGTGATGTGGCTCTTTTCTTCTGGATGTTGGGAAGGCATGGCATCTCACCAGTTCCTCTTACCGTGATCACATCCTTAGAAGGAAGTCACGGGGCTGGGAGCTGAGCAAAAAACTTTCATGTGTGGCCAGAGTACCCGAAAAAACTTGCAAAATATGCTGGAACATCTCCTTTTATAGTTGTGAGGATGAAGGCAACAAGAAATAACTTTATTAATCCATTTAGAGAGGTTAAGAATCTTCACTTGTTTACTACTGAATATGTAGCGATTCATTCCAGGTTCTTCCAGACACAGGGACTCTACAGAGAGCAAGCCAGGCGAAAAGTCCCATGCTTGCACAATACACATTTTTGTGTGTTATAGGATGGGAGAGTGAGGCAGAGAAAGGGAGATAACTCAAACTCGTGATGTGTCAGAGGGCAGTGGAGATACCAGCGGACTGTACCATGGAAGGAGTATAGGGAGGTGTCTACACTATAGAGAAGAGCCATTTCCATTCGATTGGTTAAAGTCAGCCTTGCTATGACAGGGAAATCAGAATTACCACATGAAGAGGAAAAGGGATGAAAATGGGTGATGTGGGGGCGGAGTGCCAGGCAGAGGGGGTAGTAAGAAGAAGAGGAGTGGGTGAGGTGGAGGCAGAGTGCTAGGGAAAGGAAACAGAAGGCCGAGCTTCCGGAGACACCAGCTCACCTGGCATGTTCAAAGACCCGGAGGGAAACCAACGTGATGGAGGTGGAGGACCAGAGGAGAGTGCAGACATTGTAGAGATTTAATATCTACCATAACAACTTGGTTAAATATTTAAAATTTGAAAAAAAAAACTGGGCCTTAAGGGTTCTTCTTTCACAAAAGTGTCTATGAGTGATGGATGTCATGAACATTTCACTTAGCTTGATTGTGGTAATTAGTACACAGGCTTACCTCGTCTCAAATATCACACTGTCCTTCCTGAGTATATACAACTTTCATTTTCGGTTACACCTCAATACGACTGGGAATAATAAGAAGAGAGGAGATGGAGAAGCAGTGGAGATACTCCATTACTCGCTCTCATGACGCAGGGATTACAAGCCAAGGGAAAAAACGCTGCCTTCTAGAAGCTAGAAACATCAAAGAAATTGTTTTTCAGGTCTTCCTGGAGTACAGCCTTGCAGAGAGTTGATCTTCAGAACCAGAAGGGGAAAAATAGTCTTTTCATTCATTATCTTTGTTGTGAATTGTTACAGCAGTGAGAAGACCCAGATACACACTAACTTATGGAGCAGAACAAACCGTGTTTACTGATAACTGGCTACAGATGTGAGAAGGAACCAGAGGGAGTGATGTAAGTTTGTGGGGGAGCAGTTGGAAGGATGAAATGTCTTCCACTTCAGTGGGGAAGGCCTGTTCCAAGTGATGCTGTCCCAGGCCCTTCCATTCAGAATATGGCAATCACCGATTTGGAAAAGTGTTCATGGGACGTGACTCCCAGCTTGGTGGCTAGATGGGATTTCTTCATAGCCACCATCCTGCACTGATTTAATACCGCTGTTGACGCTTGCTGTATGGCCTCTGTCTGTCAGTCCTTCCTCTGATGGCTACAAGAATCATAGACTTGGATGAGATTAGACAAGTGCACTTTATTTTAAGGCAGAGATAAGACAATATCTGGACCACAGAAGTTATTTTGAGGTGAACCGTGTTGACTAGAAGCCACAGTGGCTCTTATGGTGGGATCTTTGGAATGAGGCACAGATTTCCTAAGACCATCACTTACAACCAATATACATCCTTAAGATTATCCTTGATTGGTGGCATGTCACTCTAGAGTGGTGGGAGGAGCTGGAGGATCCCACAGCCCTGACTATGTTACTCTCACGAGGCTATGCTTTTGCTGAGGCTCAGCATCCCCACTGTACATCCAGGATGCTGCAGCCAAGGTTTTCCAAGAGTCCTAGCATGTCTGGTTCTTGCCTGTGTCTGTTATGTCAGGGGCTTGGGTGAGTTGCTCAGCCATCCAGTGTCCCAGCACTATCTACCGCTGGTTCCAAGGAGCAGACACTGACCTATGACTGTCTTCTCTCTCCTGCTGCCCTATGTCCTATCAAGCTTTATTCCAACCATAGGTTTGCATTGTCCAGGCTGCGGCTGACAACCTTGCTTCTTTTCCAACTGGCCCATGACTCACACGTCCACAAGACTGAGCAAGGAGGACGGACTTCTTTCAAGGGGGTCCAGGGCAGATGGCATGCATCATTTCCGGACTGAGTGTGCAATGCCAGACTCAGTGAGGGGCCCAGCTCTGATGGGGAGCTCTGGGAGGTGGACAGAGAGGCCAGGTTCCGGCCACCTTCTACTCTACTTCACCTAACGATGCTTTTGGCAAAAGACAAGGAAGGAAGCGATTAGTGGGCAAGGGGTGTGGCATGCATCCTTGACCTTCTGGGAGGAAGTTTCCATGAAAATAAACAAGAAAGTGAACACTGTGCTGCTACCATGCCAGTGGAGGACAAGCCAGCTTTTAAGTGCCTGCCTCCTAAGCCCTGAAAGGACCTGGAACCTGCCGGGACTGTGAGACTGGAGTTCTAGGTCTGCCACCTCTGCTCCTTTCTGACTGTGGCCATCACAATACATCTAGCAGCATCCAGACTGAATCACTCGTGTTGAGTATTCTGGGATGAGCATTCTAGAGACAAACAAGGTTCAAATAAGTGAGCAAAAGGATGGAAAGCCCACAATCCACATACTTGGGCACATTGTAGATGTTACATCTTTCTTTGGGTTCTCAAAGGACTGTACTGATAAAACAATGATTTGGGTCAATATTTTTTTTAATCAACAAAGAACTGTTGAATGAATATCAATATCATAGTCACTTATTAAGACCCAAGGCATCTCCCAGGTAGTCCAATAAATATGGCTTCCTTATTGTTGTTTTTGGAAGAATAGAAAAATCATAGAATTATGGTATTCCTGGGAAGAGCAGGCATCACCCTTAGAAGGTGTTCCGCATCATCATCCTTGCCTGACCACAGTACCTCCTTGTCCTCAGCCCATCTCATCCAGTGTGTCGCTGTTAGCTGCTCCTGACTCCTACTCTTTATTTCACAGCCCTATTATCTTCCCTTCACGTTCCCTTTTCTGGAGCTCAAACTGAACGATCCTCATTTTCACTGCTAATGTTTTGCCTGTTTCTCGGGAGCTGTCCTCAAAGGCAGCCTTCTCATGGAGAACTTACTTTTGTCTTTTTGTCTCAGACAATAGACAGTTTCTTCCTCAGAGGGTTTGGGGAAGCCGTTAAGGTAGTAAAGTTAATTGTCTCTAGAAATTTCTGAGTAGCTGGCAGTGACCCTGACGAAGATAAAAATTTGCTCTTCTCTTCCCACATTTACTCCCCGTTGCCCTGGGTCTGTGCCATTTGGTACTTACTTTTTATTTTATTTTATTTTTGTTTCAGTGCTATAGTATATTTTACAAAATGTTCAAAATGGTAATTAATCTAAGCTGTGCACCTAAAAAAAGATACGTTTTCTCGCCAGCTTATGAGAAAGAGATATAGATGGGTGAGCCAATTCTGGGAATTACAAGGGTTCTAAGGAAGGGTCTTAGGAAAATGGCCTATTCACCAAGTGATGAGGGAAATGGAGAGAAGTGGTTGGTGGCTCAGGTAAAGAGAATGGGAGGAGAAGGTGGAGAGAGGATGAGGACATGGAGGATGAGTCCGAAGGAGTAGGTTGGGAAGAGAAAAATGCAAAATCATACCCTAGCTCACTCAAGAGACATGGGAGATGGGAAAGCTTGTATCAGCTGTGTCCTTCTGTAGGAGCACTGTGCTGTTGTATCCTAGTGTTTCTGGGGTTACACCAGCAACCTGATGTCAACCTTGAGTCCCAAGTGATAATGATCTCATTCAGTGGCTGATGGGAGATAATGAACTGGAATGCTGATCTTGGTACTGATAGTGCCGTGTGAGGTGGGAAATGAGAACCTGGACACGTCAGGCTGGTTTGTCTGGATGGTACAGGCTTACGCTCACCACCTTTGTCAATAGCTCCTGCAGTAGATGGGATTTGGAGGCAGCGTTTCTGTAAAGACTTCAGGAGCTGTGAGTCTCTGTGACCATTTCAGCAGGGCGGGGGGATGGTAGCTTTCTCATGTGTCCATACTCTATGATTAATGTCATGGTAAGTTCCAACATTCAAAAAGGGTGCCGTCTCACGTGACTCAGCAGTGGATGTCTGGGTGGATAGGTACAGGCACCAGCTAAGTGCTGAGAGAAAGGAGTGAGCCGACCTGGGTGCTCATCGTCTCTGGGGCTTAAAAAATGCGATGTAGCCCTTCTTGGCAAATGTGCACTGAATCTTCAGAAAGGAGGTAGAGATAAGCAGACGGGTCCTAGTCAATCTGAACCTTGATGTGCTCATTTTTCGTTTCTAGTATGGAAATGACATCACAGGGCTTATGAACATTTACAAACAACAATAGCAAAAACACTACACACACACACACACACACACACACACACACACACACACACACACACACACACACACACACACACACACACACACACACACACCACAGGCAAATCAGCTACCTCTTGGGGGCTTTTTTTTTTTCACTTTCATTTGAAGAGTCCTCAGTTTCTGATCAATTTTACTTCTAATGTATCAGTTCGTCTCCATCCTGTTAGGGAAAATAAGGAGGAAAATTGTTTGCCTTGGGCTGAGGAGGACAGAAGGAAAGTGTTTGTCATCCCTCTGCCTCTGCAACCCACAAGGCCACAGGAATCAAAGTACAGGAACTCCA